GATGCTTATGTATTTCTGTGGGAGCAAGAGAGAAAGCCAAGGAGCCTGGTATAGTCATAGTTTCCAGTGCCTGTCATTCTTCTCTCCCAGTAATCTACAGGTGGACCATCACAAGCAAACTCTGTGTCTAACCTCAATGACTGAGTAGTTGTGCACTTCACCCTAGTACTGCTTTTAGGATTAAGAGTTCTATAGCTTGTGTGTGAGCAAATGGTTTGTTTCCCTGCAGTGCAATGCTTTAGTGTGTTTAGCTATGATTGTGCATGCATTTGCAAGTTAGTCCTGAGCGTGGTGAGCTATATTGTGCCTGAGCAGCCCACATAGCCTGTAATACAGTCCATGTGTGCTGAGAATGCAGGAGTGTTAGGATTCACTATAATGAAACAGACCACACTGCCCCCTTTCTCCCTCTCTTTCCATTTCTCCATCTTCTTCCATCACCCCTGTTCTTTCCACATCTCCACAGATTTTAGGTTCCCCCTACTCTAACATATAATCCTTCAAGGTAAACCTAGAGCTGGACCCGTAACTAGCCTACTGCTTCAGTATCTCCAATCAGATATCATGATGGTGTGTGTACAAACCTCGGTGTGTATTAGTGCTTCTTATCCCAGTCTAATAGAATAAGCTAGGCACATTAGCCTTTAGTGCAGAGCCGTGTTGTGGCTAGTGATATCAGTGCTGCTCATCTATCCACTGCTGTTATTCTGGCAGTGAGCAACACGAGCACAGCTAACATGTATTAGCTATTTTCTATGGGAGAACAGATGGGAGCCATTTAGCACTGTGTAGCTACAGTGCAATAAGGCCAGATCTAATCCTCATATCCGGTCGCTGAGTGAGCCCTACCTAATATGAGCAAATAGAGATGACAGCACCAATAGACAAAGACAGTAGCAGGGTATCTGTACGTCTGCATGAATATATGTATATATGTATCAGTATTTTTACAGGCATGCATGTTACCTTTGATTGATTAGTTTTGAATGTCCAGGTGTGCATTTATATTGGTTACCCATGGCTCTGTCTAAAAGGACACTAGACTCTGATTGGCTCACTGTGGTTGTGTATGTCCTGCTGTTGATTACAGAGGTTTTGTTTACACTCTTGGCCTCCCAGGCCCCCCCTCTAATGAAATAGGAATGTCCTTTTGGACAGAGAGCACAGGAGGAGGGGGTTACAGAAAAAAGTGAAGGAGAACACAGGGCCAAAAGAACGAAGCACTGTGGGGTGAAGAGGTTTTCTGGAAACATTATGCTTTTATCCCACCGTGAAGTTATTTGTACTGAATGAAGCAAAAAGAAGCTGAGAGGCTTTCCAAGTACAGACAGAAATATGTTTGTGTATGCATGTAAATATGTGCATGCAGGAATGAGAGAGGCCCTGTTCAGGTTGAAACAAGACAAGAACATGGCTTTTATCTGCCTGTGCTGTAATTGTACTGAATACAGTGTTTGTATGTCACCACTGTGTACAAATGTCAATAGGTATCCCACTTATGTGTATGCACAGGTTAAGGAAGTCTAGAAAAAGAAGCCTCATTTGAGTTGGAAACTGAAATTGGGCAACATATTACTCTCAGTTACATGTATGAATATTTACAATTTCATTTATTAACCCTAACGTTTTGAAGACAGTTTAGTTCAACTGTCACAGAAATGTGCTTGACTCTTACTTGCCTGTTTCTGTCTGGTTCTACCTTAAATACAAGGGCCTTTCACTACCAAAATTGACCATAAAACTGACCTAACAACCTATGAAACTCTAACTGAGATTTTACAAAACAGCACAACTGTAACTGACCTAACAACCTATGAAACTCTAAGTGAGATTTTACAAAACAGCACAACAGTAATGGGAGATAATATACTGTATGGGAGATAATATTGACTGTAACAAGTAATGTCAACTTTCTGTAACCACAGATCTACATCTAAGATTACAAGGGGTTTGTTGGGTAGCAATTTTGATTACTCTTTGTGTTCTCTTATCTTCTGTTTGATAAGGAAACCTCAAAGCCAAACACTGTGTCACTGCACAGAATTGGTATAGGAACATAGAATAATGTCATTATTAAGTGTGGCGACTGCCAGCAGATAACGATATGTCAGGAACATCTTGAGGGAATTTCTTCAAATTTATCACAAGTGCCCACTTGGATTCATGTATGAATTGATTAGAGTTTGGTAGTCAAAGGTCAAAGTCAGTGTCCTCACATCTGTCCCATTCCCATGAATTTTCAGTGGTTGGCACAGGTATACAACCATAAAGCGGTAATTCTAGGTTAATGTTACTTTGTTCACGTTAATTTTAAATATAAACAAAATACCACACAAATATCAAGTTTGCTTAACTATTATCTGTAAGTTTGCCAATGGCATCTAAAGCGATCAAGCAGGCCCTGCCACCTTTTCAGCACTGTGTGCCAGGTTGAATATCCAGTGTAAACAACTATTATCCTACACATATATCTATCCCATGTTGTGAACACAAAGGCAATGTATTTGCATAGCACATTTCATACCATAGGCAACTCCAAGTGCTTCACAAAGCATGCAGGCAGACAAAAAACAAGAAAAGAAAAAGAAATGAAATACTCATTAAATGTTAATTAATGAATACACTGGTCTAATTAACTAAAGATTCAGAAGTAAAAACAAGATAAGGTTTTAGTCTTGTTTCAGTTTTATGCATCATTGGGGTTGTATGTGAAAATGAAGGCAGTTGGAAGTTGTGTCAAAGTCTCTCAAGATATTAGACACTTCATTTGACTATTAAATATAAGATGCAAATCTCTTTGTTTTTTAAGGAAATTGTCAATTACTTCACTTTTTTTGTTTACATTTTTTCAACTTTGTTGGATATAAATGTCATGTTAAATTACAATATGTTATCCATATGTTTGTCCAGGCTGTGCATGTAGTCACTGAGTTAGTAATCTACTTGTGTGTGCATGTGTGACTGTATGCGATCCTGTGTGCAGTGTATATATATATATACTGTTATATGTGCATTTGGCTAAACTCTGGGTATGAGGGTTTGTCCTTGCACATGTGTAGCTGGGCTATACCTTGTATCTTTGGAGACCGGTGAACCACAGCTTGGAGGTCAGTAGAGGTGTCTGACCGAGGCCATCCCTCAACCGGCTGTCAGCATCATCAGTCTGTGAGGTCAGAGGTTGTTCCACCAGGTTAAACATGAGTGGAGAGAAGTCAGTAACTCAACAACAACCAACAGCAACTGAGTACAGACATTTGAGAGGGCTGTATGCTTTATCTGTTTCAATGCATTGGAATTATTTTACAAACTACCCTCTTCTTGTGGAAATGCAAGAGGTTGGGTGTCTGTACAGAAATAAAACCATGTTTTGCAAGAATTAAATAACTGAGATACATGTATCATATAACTGTAATTGGGAGTATAGTTCCAGATTCCCAAAAAAATAGTTATTTTAAAAGCTATCTCATTTTAAACAGCAATGCAGTAGTTCATACCAGTATAGAAAACCCTTATTCATTTGTACTCATTCATTTTTAAGAAAAGTAAATGAAAGAAATTTTCTGTATAAAATTATATTGTACAAAGGGGTAGGGCAAGAATCTGGCATTTGATAGAAAATTAAAAAACCCATCTTAGGAAAGGCATGAGATATAGGAGCTCAATCCCGTTCACTTCCACCATGGTCTCATTTGTTTACTGCTGTTATGCTGTGGCATTATGATTAATCTGGCACTGACACACTGGCGTTTAAATGCCCTGCACAGTATCATCTCTAAGTAGTTAATGAAGAGTATGGATAGAGTTGCTTTGTCATTGTCAGCATGTGAAGCTGTAAGCAGACAGGACCCAGAGATGTCTCTTCAACCCCAGCAAACAGAAGAGGAGGAGGAGGAGGTGGGGTCCAGGGGGAGCGGGGGGTGTCAATGTGAGACAGACAAGTTTATTCATGTTTTTGTGGTTTTCTTGAAGTTGTGTAAAGGGCAGAACAGTTAAACACCTGATGTGTGGATTATAAGGCAGTTCATCAGAGTAAGCTCCCTTTCTCCACCCACAACATGCTCATTACACACACCAAGTCAAAGCCACACACAATCGTTAGGTTTTGTGAGTCTGACTCTATGATCACAGGTAAACGCATCAGTGATTTTCCAGTGAAAATTTGTGTGTGTGTGCTGTGTGAGCAGCACAGCTAAAATATGC